TGTTATTGAATGATATATTGAACTTATTTTAATTTTCTTTCTTTCTATATATATGTTAGATTGAATTAAGATATATGTTTAATTTGCCGGTTCAAAGTGAACTTAATGGGGAAGACAATAATGGCGTATCAGAAAATTTGAGATGGTTAGCAGCTGGTCCAAGCATAGCAGTGCCATCATATAGGAGCTATCTTATTAATAGTGTCAAATTTAACACCAAGGCACAAGATGATGTGCGAACTGTCCAAAATAGTGGGGTTTATTTACTTGCACATACTATGCAAGTTGCTAGTGCCAAGGATAAAAACTCTATTGTCTCCAATATGGGTTTTTATGGCGTTATTCAAGAAATTTGGGACCTTGACTACCAAAAGTTTAGAATCCCAGTCTTGAGGTGTGATTGGATAGATAACACTTCGGGCCTTGTAGTCAACGAACTCGGATTTACCCTTGTAGATCTGAGTAAAATTGGACATAGGAATGACCAATTTGTTATGGCTTCTCAAGTCAAACAAGTATTTTATGTTGACGACCCAATGCATCGTGGTTGGTCGATAGTGTTATCAATGCCTAATAGAGAATATAATGATGTTATTGGTGATGATGTGCTAGGTGATATTAGAATTGAGTGTGAGCCATTTACTAGAGGGATACCAAATGTTGACACATTTGATGACCTAGTGGGTGAGTTTGGGAGTGAGAATATTAGAGATGGGTGTGAAGATATAAGGATTGATTGATTGTTGTAATGTATGACATTAGTTATGCAATTAATTGTATGACATTAATTAATAGCTCTATATATCATTTTAATTCCGATCACATTTTCATTCTGCAGGCTTTGGGCACGACAAATCAAAAATTAAAAATAATGGGTTAAAGCTGAAAATACGACGGTCAAGTTACAAAAATCGCAAAAAGAGACGTCTACAAAACAACCAACATCGGGTTTTGACAACCGATGTGGAATTACAACGCAAAAGTGAAATAAAAACCGCCATTTGAAAAAGAAAACACGTCGGTTAATTAAAATTAATTTCAAAACGGTTAATAAATATTTAAAACAACGACGGTAAATAAAATATTCAACGACGAACAATAAAGAATAACACGACGGCAGAGCTCAAACCGACGAATTTACTGATATAATCAATTGATGATTAACGTCGTAAAAACATTGTTGTACGTCAGTTATAATTAAACAATTGACGTCTCGGAGAATACACACGTCAAAAAAGGTTATAAAAGAGACTTAACAAAGACTAGCCACGTCATGGAATAAACAAATCACCGACGTAGTAAGTTATATAACAACGTCGAATAATTGGACCCTTGGGACATAGTAAAGCCACACCACGACCTTGATTTTACAATAACCGACGTCAAATCTGTAATTCAAGGTGTTTCCTTACTTCTTAACGACGGTTAGGCTAAAACCAATGACGTCTTAGAGATTACACACGTCTAAGTGGCTCACAAAAGAGACTTTTAAAACGCCAACCACGTCAAAGTCGAACAAAACCGATGTTGTAAATTAATTAAACATGACAGGTATTTTAATTAAACGACGTGTAATATTAAATCAACGTCGTTTATTTCTCTGTTCAAGCCGTCAAAATAATTTTCAACGTCTGTGGTGACCTAAAGGGTCGTGGTTATTTTTTTTTTTACGTGAGTCCAAGTAAATATATGCCATGTTTAATCTTTAAGACGTCAGTTTTTTGGACAAAAGTGACGTCTTATTTAACATGTTATATGTTTTAGACGTCCATTTTTTTATTTAGTGAATGTAGTATTTATTAACCACGACGGTTTCTACGTTTTACATGTCGGTTGTTTTTTAATTAAAGACGTTGATAAGAATATTTACGTCGAGTTTGTAGTTGTTTTTGACATTTAACATCATTTAAACGTCTGTGTTTTACTAAAACCGTCGTCTAATGTAGTCGAAAGTTGTCTTTTTATGCTTTTATGTATGAAGTAGACGTCGGTTTTAGTTTTTTTAAGGACGTGTAATTTATTAACCACGTCGGTTATTTATCGTCGTTATTTTATGTGTTAAAAGACGGCGGTCGATTTCACGTCGGTTTTAGAACATGATACACGACGGTGGATTCCCGTCGTCTATTTCGTTTTTTGTAGTAGTGGAGAGACCATACTTCTAGCGATTGGATTTCACTCAAAACTCACAAAATGACTCCTCCCACCATATTAGGAAAACAATAGCTAAGCAAAGGGTACGGAGTTTGTATGGTGTAAACCGGGCGGCTGGAGCCGTGTGTGGTGGCCGGAGCCGTGTGGAGAAAATATGGAGAGTGGAGAGTGGAGAGGGAGAGAGAGCTTCGGGTATTTTCTCGGATTTTAGATGTACCTTGAATGATGAATAAACCCATCTATTTATAGGAGCCTCGGGGCTAGGATTTCGTAGAGATCGAGTCGGACTTGATAATATCTGAATTATCTTGTTAATTATAAGATAATATCTAATAATTAGGATATTATCCCTTTGATAAGATAATAACCAAATTATTGATATTATCCCATTAATTATAAGATAATATCCCTTTATTATGATAATATCCCAATTAATGATATTATCTTTATTAATTATGAGATAATACCATATAATTAAGATATTATCCAGATTAATTAATTATCCCAATAAATGGTTTAATTAATTAATTTAAGGGATAATCTTCCTTTCCACGTGGCGTGCTCTGATTGGAGACGAAAATATTTGCTCCCACAAATGCCCCCCAGTTTCTGCATGGCGTTTGTGTGGCATGTAGGAGATGAATTTATTTTTCGGACTCTCCAACTGTGTCTGAGCTTTCTTCTGTGAGTTGGACTCCTTTTGTAGATCAGGTTCCCAATTGGAGTAGGCTTTTGACTGTTCTTGGAGTTGGATTCCCAGTAGGAATGAGCTTGCAATTCCTTTTTGACCCGGGTTGTCCAACTTGTATAAATACAGGGCTTCTCTTCACTCTTTCTCACGCAAACTTAACTTCTCTACTTTCTAGCTTGAGAAAGATCTTGGAGAATTTATACTGCTTGTCGAAGAGAGGAGTTGCCGTGCATCCCAAGGTAAGTCGAGCACATATATTTTTTCTTCGTCTTCTCTTTTTCGCTGCGAGGACCAGCTGGGTAGGACTAGGCTGGTTGTCATCGTGACTAGCGGTCGAATATGGTTGGAGAGACGGTGGCCTCTGGTGGCTGCTGAGCGAGTATCGGGAGAAAGTCGGTGGACTGCCCCCTGCCGAGGATGTCGATTGATGGAAGCAGGATGGTCCGGACCCTGATGATCTGCCTGCTGGATAGGAGGAGTGTTCTGTTAAACTCCCCTTAAAGAGGAAGGCTGATGTCAAGTCATCGAGAACTCAAGCTACTTCTTCACGGGCGAGGAATGTGTCTCCATTGAGGAAGAAGCCAATGATCCTTTTTACTGAGAAGACTCAAGTAAGAGTTGGTCCCTCGTCATCTGCTCGGGTGAAGGGTTCTTCTACAACGTCATCGGCTGATCCAAAGGTGGACAAGTGCAGCCCTGCAGGGGATGTAGGCATGTCTGATCTGCTGAAGACAAACTTTCTATCAAGCCCATCCACTTATGTTGAGCTAGTTGATCAAATCCGCCAGGCTGGTGATGGTGGCAAACGTTATGGATCAGGCATGTGGAGCTGCTGAGATCGTGGCTGATCATGTGGATGCTAAACAGGCTGCGTATCAGGGATCCCCTGCTGGCGTTTTAGAGTAGATGAAGACTCATTTATTTCTCTTCAGCTTTTGTAGTCTGCTTTCTTGTTTAGAATAATTGGTCTGGTTTGACCATTTTCTTTTTGTTGAACTCGGCCAGTTGGTCAATTTGTGATGGAAATTTCAGTTGTTTTTTTCTAACATCAATCTGCATAGTATCTTGTGAACTGCTTGAGTGTCTCTGGGTTGTGGCATGTTTGGCATACGTCCGGAGACGTGCAGATGAGAGTGGCATGTTTGGCCTACATTCGGAGACGTGTCAATGAGTGTGTGGGGCCCGTTTGGCCTACGTTCGGAGACTTGTCAATGAGAGTGGCCCGTTTGGCCTACGTCCGGAGACATGTCGATGAGAGTGGCCTGTTTGGCCTACATCTGGAGATGTGTCGTTGAGTGTGGCCCGTTTGGCCTACGTCCAGAGACGTGTCGATGAGAGTGGCCTGTTTGGCCTACGTCTGGAGATGTGTCTTGAAGACGTGTCGATGAGTGTGGCCCGTTTGGCCTACGTCCAAAGACGTGTCGATGAGAGTGGCCCGTTTGGTCTACGCTCGGAGACGTGTCGTTGAGTGTGGCCCGTTTGGCTGACGCCAGGAGATGTGTCGATGAGAGTGGCCCTTTTGGCCTACGTCCGGAGACGTGTCGATGAGAGTGGCCCGTTTGGCCTACGCCCGGAGACGTGTTGATGAGTGTGGCCCGTTTGGCCTACGTCCGGAGATGTGTCGATGAGAGTGGCCCGTTTGGCCTACGTCCGGAGACGTGTCG